GACTAAGGTGCGTCTGATACAGCCCATGGTCTTTGTAATCACTTGTTATGCATCAGAGTTGGACAATGACTAAGGAGGATAGAAGGAGAATTGATGCCTTTGAGCTGTGGTGCTGGAGAAGAGTATTGAGGGTACCATGGACTCCTAGGAAAACAAACAGATTCATTAGAGGGTTAAACTGGGTGGCTCCTGGTGGAGGGATGGTGCAGGAGGGGAAGGCCCTCTATGAGGTGGATTGATTCACTGACTTGGGTAATCGGGATGGGTGTATCAGAGACAGTGTGATTGGTACAGGACAGAGCAGAGTTTAGGGCTGTTGTACATAGGGTCACTATGAGTTGCAAGCGACTGGATGGCACATAACAACAACAACATAAATGTAGACTACTCAAGCTTAAATTGGTTAAGGAGGATTTTTTCCTTTGTATGAGAAGAAAAAAATGCAGGTAAAAAAAAAATACACATTATCACTGACCAGATCCTGGACATACTTAGTAACCCTTTGTTCCATCTGTGCCCAAATGCTGTCTCATTTTCTCCTCTTATTACTGTTTCCAACCAAGTTCTCTAGGTTGTGCCAATTAATCTCAAAGCAGAGAGGCTGACATAAATCTGACATTTCTAAAAGTGTACAATAAAAGACCCCACAGCTTTCACTTGACTATTTCAGAGAAAATGAAAGCTAGGTTGTTCACTTGCTCAGCAGGTTTGAAAACAAATACAAAGGATTCATGCTGCCATAGTTTTATTATAAAGAATACTTTTGAAAGAAAGGCAAGTGGAAATAAAAGCAGGATAAGAAAATACAAAAAGAAACAAAAATAAAAGACACAATTTCACACAAGAAATATATTAAGTAACACAGAAAAACCACCTATTTTCCACATAAATTAATCCTAACACTAACCTCTAACATCTTTTTGTCCTGATTTTATTCTTTCAGTCCCTTCTAGGAACACAGAGTACCCACATCCTTGTGCATGGTTAATAAATGGCACTTGATTTCAAAGAGCTTTAGCAGGTGGCATTCTTGGGCCACCTACTCACTTCAGGTGCACCCCATCATTTAAACATTCTAGAGAATTTCCTAAGTAGCTGTGAGTGTAGTATAACAAATCTCTATGGTTGCTCTAGGTGACATCAAAGAAGATAACAAAAACTTGAGTTCATGGATCATTGTAGATCTCATCCAATGAACCAGCTTTAAGAAACTGTTAAAGAGTTGAAGTGTAATTAGCCCAGTATTCAAAATTACAAACAGTTTCTTACTGACCTCTTCTTTTGGTCCCAGTGAAGGATTAACCGTATTGTGGCAGCATGTCCCCAACTTTCCCCTGAGAGGAAAAACAAAATTAACTGTGTTACTTTACTGACTAGGTTTTAAGAACTCCCTCAGAATGTCTCTGACTAAATACAGTCTTATTTTAACATAAAATGAGTGTAGTTACTTTCAAAATACTCAGGACACGGATAATACCCTGAGATTAAGAGGGAAATACTGAAAATCATTATCTTCTTTTGCTTTTGGAGAACTTTCTGAGCCATCACATATTCACACTTTTGTGAATCCTCCAGATGCACCAGGCTTAGTGAACGTACTTCTAATCTTTGGAACTCTGGTGGCACAGTAGTTAAAGAGGTTGGCTGCTAACAGGTTAGTGATTTGACTCTCCCAGCAGTTCTGCAGGAGAAATTTGGGGTATTCTGCTTTATAGCCTTGGAAAGCTATATTGGGGCAGCTCTATTCTGTCCTACAGAGTCAATATGAGTTTCAATTCACTTACCGGCAATGGGCTATATCTCAATAAAAAACACAAACAAAACAAAACAAAACAAAACAAAAAACACCCCAAAATCCAAATCCATTGTCATCAAGTTGATTCTAACTTACAGCTACCCTACAGGGCAGAGAACTGTCTGATAGAATTTCTAAGGCTATAATCTTTAAGAAAGCAGAGTGCATCTCTGTTCTGCAGGACTGATTGGTGGGTTTGAACCTGTGATGTTTCAGTTAGCAGAGAAGGGCTTAAACTTTGTACCATCAAGATCCCTCTTCAGATCCCCAGGAAAAAGGTTAAAAATTCTGAATTCAGTAGCTATAAATCTGGAAGCAGTGCACTCCAACAAAACCATAACTGAGATTAGAAATCTGACAGATAACTCTATTCCTTGTACTGTGATTTATAGTTATACTGAATTCACTCTTCTTCCTTAGGAATGTGAATTCTGGAGGCACAAGATTCTATCTAATGGAAATTTAAATCCTTAGAATCTAATACAACAGTTACTATAAAGAAGATACTTTATAAATGGTTATAAAATCACAAAAAGGATGAGTCAGCATCTGAGAGCATGAGACTTTTTCATGGGATGTGTGTGCGCGCGAGCGCATGGGTGTGTGCTGAGATTTACTGATAAGCAAGACAGATGCCAGTCCACAAAGATCTAACAAAAGCAGTAGAAAAAAACATGTGTAAGTGAAAATCTGATCAATGACCTACCTAAAGCAGGAATTAGTGAGGCTTGGTTTCTATCAATCTTTGTGGTCATTTGATTGGTTAATATTACCTAAAAAACAAAAGATGATAAAATTAAGAAAATCCTTCCAAATAATTATGAAATATTATTAATTTATTAAATATTATTAAGTAAATATGTGCTATGAGGTCTTATAATTTCAGTATTATATTCAACTGTTAAATGTTTTCTGAAAACATTATTACTGAATATGAAACATTTTTATAAAGACAAATACTGCACAGTGCCACTGTTGTAGAATGGGACTGACATCAGGGGTCAGACATCTTGGGGTAAGACTGAGAAAAACTGGATAAATTATGTATACTGCATTGAAACGGATGAGGGAAAGACCTGTTTGAAAGCGATATATGATTGGGTATTATGGTTATGACACGAGTCCAGGATGAAGTTTCATAGTGGAGTATACTCAGTGCAGAAGGGGGGATTCTATACCAATGAAATAATTTTTCTTTTACTGTTCAAAGGGAAGAGTGAACTGGGGGTGGAGGGGTGGGCAGGGATAAAAATGCAACAAGAATGTACGGAAATACAAAATCTCTGTAAATGTTCATTAAGATTAATTTTTTTTAATTTAAAATAAATAAATTCAGATGGGTACTTTCCCATCCAAAATTCTCCACAGAAAGTTTAAGATACTCCTCCAATACAGAGCTTTCCTCTAGAAAGAAATAAGCTGAAAATTATAAAGGACTTCTATGAAAACCAATGAGAAAAATGTCTACTCTGAAAAGGTCATCAGTTCCATAAGAACACAAAAAGAAAAGGTTGTTTGGTTATTTCCACAAGAGTAACACCCTAACATATCTGTTTAGTCAACATGATGAATAATACCTTGCACTGTATATATTACCAAGTGTTGAAACTCTACCAAACGGAATATTTACTTTAGAGCTGTGCTGTTCAATTCTGTAGCTGTGGATTAGGACATGTATATCTTAGGGTAAATGTTATTATACTCTCTTGTTATAAAGAACTGTTTAAAGACAAATGTGACATACCACACATTTTTATCACTCCATAAACGTCTACTAAAAAATACTAGTTAAGAGAATTTAGTTTACCCATTACATCTCCTGAGGAAAATGTAAATAACAGGAGCTTACCAGCTGTTCAACATTCCAAAATTGGATTTTGCATTACTGGCAAATATTTATAAGGTATTTCTATTACTTCTACAAAAATATTGGGTACCATGATACAATTGAAAATTACTGTGTTCCCAAAAACCAAATTGTTTAAGTAGTGAGACAGCAATTATAGATTTCAGTGCTTTAAATTACATTCCCAAGTTTCAAAAACCAAATTTTTAAAACAATAATATAGCAATGACTTTGGAAGTGTGGACTTCTGCTATCCAAATGTCCTTTGGCTGATAAAATGGACAATTATTCAACCAGAAAACAAAATACTGAGACTTGCTATAACAAAGATTGTTGTTGTTGTTATGTGCCGTCGAGTTGCCTGCGACTCATAGCGACCCTATGTACAACAGCCCTAAACTCCACTCTGTCCTGTGCCAATCGCACTGTCTCTGACACTCCCATCCCAATTATCCCAGTCACTGAATCAATCCACCTCACAGAGGGCCTTCCTCTCCTGCGCTGTCCCTCCACCCTCCCAAGCATGATGTCCCTCTCTAAGGACCGGTCTCTCCTCACAACATGTCCAAAGTATGTTAGATGGAGCCTCAGAATCCTTGCCTCCAAGGAGCCACCTGGTTTAACCCTTTCCAGGACAAATCTGTTTGTTTTCCTAGCAGTCCATGGTATTCTCAATACTCTTCTCCAGCACCACAGCTCAAAGGCATCAATTCTCCTTCTATCCTCCTTGGTCATTGTCCAACTCTCTGATGCATAACAGGTGATTGAGAAGACCATGGCCTGTATCAGATGCACCTTAGTCTCCAAAGAGACACCATTGCCCTTCAGCACTTTGGAGAAGTTCCTAACAGCAGACTCTCCCATGGCAATACGCCATGAAGTTACATGAAAGAAACTAGACACAAAAAGCTACATCTGTTGTAAAACTCTACTTATCTAAAATGTTCTCAAAAAAGCAAAATCTAGAGACAGAAACTAAAACAGTGGTTGCCTGGGGCTAAGAGAAACAATTACTGCTAAGGGGCCCAGCTTTCTTTTTTCCCTTTTTTTTCTTGGCTTGCATATAATAATTTGTTTACATTGTGTCTCATTCATGTATATTGTGTTTTATACGATCTTTCATTTACTTGTGTTTTAGCCTCATTTCTTAAAATTGTAATTTTAGTAAAAGTTTACAGAAAGCATAGATTATCATTCACTTATACACATTTTTTCCTCCATCAATTCCCTTTGCAATGTATGTCTTGTTCCAGATTGTTAATACAAGCTTCTTTTGAGAATGATAAAATGTTCTAAAACAAGACTGTGTTGATGGTTGTAGAACTTTGTACTAAAACTCACGAATTATATACTCTTAAAAGGTAAGTTTCCCTATGACCAGGAGACAATAAAATAGACAAATGGGGCCTTCTAAGAATCAAATCCTATGCATATCAAAAATACTTCTCCAACAGGGTAAGAAGGAAATACATGGACTGGGAAAAAACATTTGGCAATGACATATCTGATAAGGGACTTATATATAAAAGATACAGAAAACTCCAGCACCTCAACAATTATAAACAACACAATCACAAAATGGGCACAGTATATGAACAGACACTTCAACACAGAAGATATTCAGATGGCAAACACATGAAGACATGTTCAAAAATCCTAGCTACCAGAAAGATGCAAATGAAACAACTATGAGATATCATTTCATCCCGGCAACAATAGCAGAGTTCAAAAGAGTAGCAAACAACAAATGTTGGCAAGGTTGTGGAGAGATTCGAACTTTTATTCACTGCTGCTGGGAATGCACTATGGAAGGTAATCTGGTGTTTTCTCAAAAAGTTAAAAATAGGGAGCTCTGGTGGCCTACTGGCAAGAAGCTGTACTGTAATCCCAGAGGTACATAGTTTGAGTCCACCAGATGCTCTGCTGGAGAAGGAGATGCAATCTCCTCCTGTGCCAGTCAGATCTAATTTGACGGCACACGCGCGCGCGCGCACGCACACACACACATTTAAAAGTTGAAAACAGAAATACCATTTGAATCAGTAATTCCACTACTGGGAATATACCTAAAGAAACCACAGGCACACCTCAAACAGATATATGCACACCATGATTATTGCTGCATTATTTACAATAGCAAAGAGATGGAATCATCCAAGTGCCCATCAACAAATGAAAGGGTAGAAAAGCTATGGTATTTCCACACAATTGAATACTATATAGCACTGAAAAATAATGAAATAGTAAAACATTACACAACATGAGAGAGCCTTGAAGAAATTATGCTACGTGAAATAATCTCAGTCAGAAAGGAACACTGGAGAACACTGATATTATAAAATAGGACAGAGATGGGGGGTGTTGGGGAGGGCATGGGGAAAGAGTAGATAGATACTAAACACTGCACTAGAACATCTGAAGGGAAGAACTGTCCAACATTTATATATGATTATGCATTATATGTATGAGAACAATCTGGAACAAAGGGTACATTTGGGGGCAGGCTGGCAGGAGGGGAGGGAAAATGTACAATGAACTAAAAAAAATTAAAAATATGTACAGCCTTGGAAATTATAAGGGACAGTTCTGTCTTACGGGAACATAAATGCTAATTTATTTACTAGGAGGTTTGTTTGGATTTAGGTTCATTTATTGTGTTCTTTTCCCATTTTACTTTTTTAAACTGAGGTGAAATTTACCAATAAATTCCAAACCATTTTAAAAACAAAAAGAAGGTAAGTTTCACTGAATGTGAATTATATATCTAACCATTAAAAACTGTTTCTGCTAATAACCAAAGAAATATCTTTCTAAAAAAAAAATAAAAGATCATCTTCCCTATCAGTGTGGCAAAAAGTAAAAAGACAGATAAAGAATTGGTAGAGAGATGGGAAAATAAATATCCCTATTCACTGATGTGGATGTATCCTTTTTTTTTAAACTTAATTAACTTTATTTGTGATACCAAATCCACTATGTGGTGGCCACAGTTGGAGCCTGGGTCCTCTGCAAAGATTCTGGTGTGAGTTTTTATAAGATGGCCAGTCAATACCTGGTAGGGAGACTTGGTGAAACACAGTCTCTTTCCAGAGATCAGGGGTCAAGTAGCATGTAGGTCTTGGAGATGCCAGGAGTTTCCCAGGGTAGCTGTGCAACCCCTGGCTGAGATGTAGCAGTCATTAATTCCAGCCATCAGCAGCTTCTTGGGCACAGGGGTCGAGACTATTCCAGTGCCTCAGATGCACCAACACAGAGCCACAGTGCCCGGTCACCTTGAAGAAAACAGTGTGAGGCTTGCCAATCTTGTTCCCCTAGTAGCCACACCACTCAGGGACAATGGAGAGCTTGGCCAGGATAATGGCCCCACGGATGGCAGTAGCTACCTCCTGGGAGCACTTGACACCCAAGCTAACATGGCCATTACAGTCTCCAAAGGCAACAAAGGCCTTGAACCTGGTCTGCAGGTCAGCACGTGTTTGCTTCTGCACAGGCATGATTCTCAAGACTTCATCCTTGAGGGACAACCCCAGGAAAAGCCAATGATCTCAGACTTCTTGATGGGCAGTGAGAAGAGAGAAATCTCCTCTAAGGATTTGATCTTCATATCTTTGACCAGATGGCCCAGATTGGTGATGGGGATCCACTCCTTGAACTTGGCTTTGCCTCCTCAAGCTCCAAAGCCTCTCCCATGGCCCAGTCCATAGAGAGGCCCTAACTCCACAGACCACTGCCAAAGCCTCTGCAGAAACCGCCGCCACAGGCTCCCATCCCAGGACCTCAAGGCCTCTGGGCCCTCCCGCTGCACTGGCGTCATCAGCCATTTGGTGCTGGAAAATTATTTCTCAGGGTAATTTGTTAAAAAATAACAATATGCTTCAATCATTTGGCTTAATATTTTTACTTTAAAAATTTATTTTAAGAAAATAACTGGACAAGTGGACAAAGATAAATTTATAAAGTTAGTGACAAAATAATATATTTACTGAATCAATCATGTTCAATGGTAAAAACCAGATATAATTTTAAATAAGGACGTTTTGGGCAAAGAATGGTGCTGCGGGTGGGAAAGCATAGTGAGTTTCTGTAAGGCAGAAATGGGCCTCTTTTGCTAGTTTCTTTTAGATGAGAAAATGTAGTCCCCTGGCAAGCTTGCTGTTTTCGGATCAATAAAGATTCAAGGACTGCACAAGCCTGTTTTCAAGGTGAGTGACTATGGAGATCATGCTCTCATAATGATCATAAGACACTTTATTTTCTGGAAATAAATGAAAACCAAAAAGTATATTCCTCACATACAGGCTACCCAGATGGATTTAGACAAGTATCAGCTGCTCAGCTTAACCAGAAGGATCCAGTGGCAACCGTTAAAGAAGCCATTTATGATATGTTGTGGTTATGTGCCATTAAGTCGCCTGAGACTCATAGCGACTCTATGTACAATAGCTCTAACGCCTGCACTATCCTGAGCCAGTCTCACTGAGTCTGACACACCTACCCATTACCTCAGTCACTTGTGACTTTCTCTCTTGCACTGTCCCTCCACCTTTCCATATATAATGTCCTTCTCCAAGGACCAGTCCTTCCTGGCCATGTGCCAAAAGTGAGTTGGAGCTTTAAAATCCTAGCCTCCAAGGAGAAACTTGGTTTCACCCTTTCAAAAACAGACCTTTTTTCTCTTGGCAGTCCATGGGATGTTCAATACCCTCTCCAGCACCACAACTCAAAGGCATCAGTTCTTCTTCTGTCATCCTTAGTAACTGTCCAGCTCTCTGATGCATAGTAAGTAACTGCAAAGACCCTGGCCTGGATCAGACACACATTAGTTTCTAGAATGACATCATTGTTCCTTGGTACTCTGGAGAGATCTCTGATAGCAGATTTTCCCAGTGCAATTCATCTTTTGATTTCTTGACTGCTGGTGCCAAGAGTGCTGACCATAGAGCAGAGCAAGCTGAAACTGTTAACAACCTCAATTCTTTATCATAGTGCTGCCAATTGGCCCAGTGGTGAGAATCTTTGTCTCCTTGACATTGAGCTTCAATCCATATTGAAGACTACAGTCTTTGACTTTTTGCAAATGCTTCAGGTCTTCCTCAGTTCAGCATATCACAAGTTTTTGATGAGTCTTTCTCCAATCCTGATGCCACATTCCTCATAAAGCCTAGTTTCCCAAATGGTCTGTTCCACATAAAGACTGAAAAGGTATGGAGATAAGGCACTTCCATCGCTGACTCCTTTCCTGATATTCAGTCATGCAGTGCTTCCTTGCTCTGTTCTGAGGACTGCTTCCTGGTCCAAGTATAGGTTTCACATGAACACAATACTGGTATTCCTGTTCTCCTTAATGTTAGCCATAATCTGTTGTTATTCACACAGTGAAATGCCTTTGCATAGTCAATGAAACAGATACACATTCCTCTGGTGCTCTTTCCTTCGCCCAAGATCCATCTGCCATTGGTGATAATGTCTCTAAAATCCTTCACAGAAATATGGTACAAAAGTTACATCTTTTTCCGGATGAAGAAATTATTAAAAAGTTAGTGGAAGATATTCCTTAACTACAAAAAGTACCCAAACATCTAAATGAATACATAAAAGAAGAAATGAAGGCTTTTCCAAGAATTGAGTCTTTCATCATCTGATGGAGGACAAAAATAGTAATGAGATAGTTGAAACTTCTTCCTAATGAGTTTCTCTTTATCAATAGGACAGAGAAAATAGCTGTATTTTGAAAAATACCCTATTACAGGTGATAAAAGTTGTGGAGAAAGGTCAGGAAGAGATATTCTTTCAATAATAAATTGCAATAAAAAGAACTTATTTATTGTGTTACCTGATTTGACTGTTATAAATAACAAAAATTGCATTTTTAAATTAAAAAAAGAATAAAAACTGTGTTACATTCATGCAATGGAACACAATACAGTTGTTTAAAAGGATAAGGTAGATTTATAACTACCGTTAGGGAGTGGTACTATCAACCCAAAGGCACACAGTTTGAATTCACCAGCTGCTCTGAGGGAGAAAGGAACACTCCCCTTCTGTGCAATTTACTGCTTGTGAAAACCTGTTGCAGGGTCAGCTATGAGTTCTGTTTCAACAACATAGAACTTCACCTTTTCTTCATTTAATGATATGTTTGTATGTATTTCATTCCCTAACAGTACATGCACATTTAGATCACTCGTCTTAACTACTGCATATTATTCCACTATAGTAATCAGTGTATGTCATTGGTTGTAGTTTTTAATCAGAGAAAATGAAGCTATTTTTGTTCAAACAACGAAACCAAAAAACCCCAAACAAGAAAAACTAAGCAAGCCATTAGCCTTGGGTGCCCTCTGCTGGATGCTTTTCCTTGATTTAAAAAAAAAAAAAAAAAGAATGCTAAATTTGTGACAATTCAAATACAAGATACGCTTTTCTACATATAAAATCTAAACACTAAAAAATAAAGATGTATTTTTAAAAACTATTTTATTGAAGGAGTTCTTTCTTTATTTATGATGTATTTCAGGTGTGTGCTAAAAACTTTCTAAGAGACCAAGTAAAACAGTTTGACTTCCTCTTATTTGCCTCCCCACCAGTGTGTGTATGTGTATCAGTGATAGGATGGGGTTACACAGTGGGAAGTGACTGGCAAATAAGCAACAGCCAAAAATGTTTTTAGGGGGTGGGGGTAGCAGGGAGAAAAGTACAACAATGAATGAATGGAAATGCAAAATCTCTGTAAATGTTCAATAAATTAATAAAATTTTAAAAAATGTTTTTAATCTCCTTCCTCCTCCTTTTTAAAAAAATCTCATTCCTTCTTAGCTCTTCACTTCTGAGCTTATATTTACTTCTCTCCTCACATTCCATACCCAGAACCTCCTCAAAACATCAAGATTGTTTAAGCTGTATAATCAGTCTATCCCCAAGCGTAATTACACACTCTTCAACCATGAAAGATGAAAAGGCAATGAGGTTATCAAACTAAAATTTACCTGAAAAGCTCTTCACTGATTATGTGAAGGGTGACATTCTTTCATTATATATAAAATTTATTAAAAAAATTACATCACTACATTTACTCTTTCATAAGGAAATGGATATACTGCATACATATTTAACTTTAATGCATATCTGTGTAATCTGCTATTAAGCAAATTCTAGTTTGGTATTTTAGGCAATCATTTTTTTTTTAATTTGTGTGTGTGTGTGTGTGTGTGTGTGTGTGTGTGTGTGTGTGTACCATCACATCGGATCTGACTGGTACAGGAAGAGATTGTCCCTCCTTCTCCAGCAGAGCATTTGGTGGCTTTGAACCACGCACCTCTGGGATTGCAGTGCAGCTTCTTGCCACTAGGGCACCTGAGCTCGCCTAAGCAATAATATTTTATACAATCCTTAAGTTCTTTATAAAATTCACTTGACTAATAATACTTACAGCTAATCTATGATTATTTGCAAGGCTGATCATTTGCTGGGCAAGGCCATTTAGTAACCTGGTACGGAGGGACAGGTCATCTAGGTCATGACGAAAAGGAAAAGCAATACCATCCACTACCACCAATCGAACCTATATACAGAAATCGTAACAATATTAATTTTGATGTTAAAAATAAAACATTTATTTACATAATCACTAAAATTTTAATTTAGTCTAGTTTGATGATTATTTTTAAAAATATAATTCAACAAAATAAAAGGGACAATTTCCTTATAATTTGTAATTTTACTTAGCATTTGCAGAAACATTTCATAAAGACAAGCACATCTGAAATCATGGTAAAATAAGTATATTTCTCACTCAATATTACCAATCTTACCTTGGGATTTTCTTTATTTGAAAAAAATTACATTTTATAATAATATTAAGTAAAAAAGAAAATATTTTCATGAAAAACTTAATTCTTGGTATATTTTTCACCCTTACTTTTAAATATATTATGGGGCAACCTAAGCATTACAAAATTTAGTATGTGGCAGATTTGTCTTGAATTCCACATAAGTCTACTTATGGACTAAAACATATTTATGATAGTTCAACTATAATAAAAACAAAATTATGGGTTAACCTTTTATTCTCTTATATATAAGAAGGCATGAGTCAGAGCAAATTTGATTAACAACTATTAACAAGATGAAGTCAGAGGAATTTATCAACACATAAACCTGAGATCCAAAAATGTCTAAAAAGAAACAAAACCACTCAAAATGACAATGCTATTTTTTTTCTCCATGTAGTAAGGGGTAGCTTAATGAAACGTCTATTGTAAAAGAGTAATTCTGATATCTTTTAAGCTATCAGTTAATCACTCTCCTCAGAAAACTATGTATTGAAAGTGACATCTAAAGTATGTCAGATGTCCTTGTGGTGCAGTTAGAATTCAGCCATCAGGATGGAGCAATTTTGTTCCCATAAAAACCTACTTTAACAATGAGTGAATGGAAATCCAAAGTCTCTGTAAATTTTCATTAAATAATAATTTTAAAACTCACTGATATGCAGATACAACATAAAAAAAATCCCACTTTACTCATTATCCTTGAGTTGAAATCTGACCCTCCAATCGGCTTCATAGACTGCAGATTGCAAAAAGAGACAGCCTCTGGTAGATGTTAACTAAAGGTCAACCTTTAGATTAGTAGTATAACTCCTTATGGACCATGAGAGTTCCCTCTGTAAGGATTAAAACCAGGGAGCTCTGGTAGTGTAATACATAAGAGTCACACTGCTAATCCATAAAAACTAAACCTTGAAAAGCCTTCTAGGGGTGCAGGAACACAATGAGAGAGAATCACCTAAACAACAATAGCATTTGTTGGTATATGCTGGTCACTGTTCCAGGAATTGGTGATACCATGTAAAGAAGAAAGACAAAACAAACTCCTGCTGTCTTTCCTGTTTTATTTGTCAAGGCATTATTTGTTTAACATAAAGTAATGTAGAAAATATTAATAACATATTAAATTTTTTTAAGGTTTTTTTATTTTATTATTTTTGTGTGCGTGTACTGTCAAATCAGATCTGACTGGTACAGAAGGAGATTGTCCCTTCTTCCCCGGCAGAGCATCTGGTGGATTCGAACCGTGAGCCTCTGGGATTGTAGTTGCAGCTCCTTACCACTAGGCCACCAGAGATGTATTGTGGCTGTTAGATTATGAAACAAGGAAAAAAACCGAGGAAACTGTCTCCTAGCATTAAAAAATTATCCAATTCAGGAAAAAAAAATCTTTGTTGTTTACTTTCACATCATGCATCAGTGGAAGCAAAAATATCAAGTATTATCATGTTAAAACACTATCTGTTCATCAATGATATAAGCAACTGCTTCTCTGAACTGAACAGCAATCAAGCACTTATTGGTTATTTGATTTTGTCAAATCATGGAATAGGCTGGACAAAGATACAAGTGATTAGAAAAAAATCAAACCAGCAAAAGTGTTCTGTAAAAATCCATTGGCATCCACTGTTATAAAATAGGACTGACTGACATTGGGGTTAGGGATAATGTAAGAAAAGAGGGTTTAAATAATGTATACTGCATTGAAACAGATGAGGGAGAGAACTGTTTGAAAGGAATATATGGTTAGGTATTATTTTAATGACAAGAGTCTGGAATGAAAGCTTCATGAGGAAGTGGACTTTGGGGTAGGGGATTGTATAATAATGAAAGGGGTTTATTTTACTTTTCAAAGACAAAAACTAACTAGGGGGATGGGTGGACAGGGAAGATAATGTGCAAAAATGAGTGAATGTAAATCCAAAGTCTCTATAAACTTTCATTAAAATTTCAATTAAAAAAAAATCCATTGGCATCAAAACAACTATGAGATATCATCTCACCCTAGTAAGAATAGCAAAATTTAACAGAACAGCAAACAACAAATGCTGGTAAGGTTGAAGAGAAACTGGAAGCAGTATGCCACTTTCTCAAAAAGTTGGAAATAGAAATACCATTTGACCCAACAATTCCACTACTGGGAATATACCCTAAAGAAACTATAACTGCCACCCAAGCAGATATATGCACACCTATGTTTTTGAGGTTTCGTTCACAATAGCAAAGAGTTGGAAACAACCCAAGTGCTTATCAACAAACAAATGGAGAGAGAAACTGGTATGTTCACACAATGGAATATTATGCAGCACTGAAAAACAGAGAATTCATGAAATATTATACCAAATGGGTGACCATGGAGGACACTATTCTGAGTAAAATATCTCAGTCACAAAAAGACAAATACTGCATAATGCCACTGCTATAAAATATGACTAACAAGTGAGTTGGGGGGAAACTAAGAAAAGAGGGGATAAATAATGTACATAGCATTGAAACAGACAAAGGAGAGAACTGTTTAAAAAGAATATATGATTAGGTATCATTGGCATGGCAAGAGTCCACAATAAGAGCTGCATAGTAAAGTGGAGTGTGGGAGTGGGGGAGGGGGGCTGTATAACAATGAAAGAATTTTTTTCCAAAGGAAAAAAGCAAACCGGGGTGTGGAGGTGGGCAGGGAGGAAAATGTGCAACAATGAATTAATGGAAATTCAAGTTCTCTAAAAACTTTGATTAAAACCTCAACTAAAAAAATTATATGCAACACATTCTTAATATCAGCAAAGTATAAACTTATAATGGCCTTGCAAGCCTAGTGGCGGGTCATCATGAGTCAGAACTAACTCAATAGTGAGTTTGGGGGTTTCCTAGTATGCAGATATCCTCATACTTAACCTGAAAAACTCGTTATTAAGCATTTACCTGCACACAACTGGAGAGGTAAAAGAGTTCTATCATGGAGGAGGATGTTATAGTCATTCAGTTGGTGGTTCTCAAACCTTTTCATAGAATTCCTTCGCAACTGTATGATTGTTACCTGCCCTGAGTCCATTTTTACTTACGGTGACCCCAGGTGTGCAGAGTAAAACTGCTCTCAAAAGAACACAGGGCTTCTCTTTCTAAGCATGTCTGAGTGACCAGCTTTTAAGTGAGCAGTCAAGTGCTTAACTCTTTGTACCACCCAAGAAATCCACCATTTTTAATTAAAAATGTTTGTTGTTTTGTTATGTGCCGTCAAGTCACCTGCGACTCATAGTGACCCTATGTGCAACAGTCCTAAATTCTGCTCTATCCTGTGCCAATCTCACTGTCTCTGACACACCTACCACGACTACCCCAGTCACTGAATCAGTTCTCCTCATAGAAGACGTTCCCCTCTACACTGTCCTTCAACCCTCCCAAGCATGATGTCCTTCCCCAAGAACTGGTCCCTCCTTGCAACATGTTCAAAGTATGTCAAACAAAGCTTCAGAATCCTTTCCTCCAAAGAACAGCCCAGCTTCACCCTCTCCAGGACAAACCTGTTCATTTTCTTGGCAGTCCATGGTATATTCAATACTCTTCACCAACACTACAGCTGAAAGGCATCAATTCTCCTTCTACCATCCCTACTCACTGTCCAGCTCTCTGACTCATAGCAAGTAATTGCAAAGACCATGGCCTGTGTCAGGTGCACCTTAGTCTCCAGAGTGACATCACTGTTCTTCAGTACTTTGGAGAGGTCCTTAACAGCAGACTTTCCCATCACAATACATCTTTTAATTTCCTGGCTAATGGTGTCAAAGAGTGTTGACCTTGGAGCCAAGCAAACTAAAGCTGTTAACAGTCTCAATCTCTTTACAGTTTATCATGATGCTGCCAATTGGCCCAGTGCTAACAATCTGTTTTCTTGATTTTGAGCCTCACTCCATACTGAAGGCTGTAGTCCTTGACCTTATGCAGCAAGTGCTTCAGGTCCTCCTCAGTTTCAGCAAGCAGGGTTGTGTCATCTGCCTAATGCAGATTGTTGATGGTTTTTCCTCCAATCCTGATGCCACACTCCTCCTCATACAGCCCAGCCTCCCGGATAATCTGTTCTGCATATAGGTTGAAAAGGTATGGCGATAGGGCACATCTCTCATGTACACCTTCCCAATTTTGAACCATGCAGTGTCTCCTTGCTCTGTTCTGACGACTGCCTCCTGGTCCAAATAAAGGTTTCACATTAGCACAATCAAGTGTTCTGGGATTCCCATTCTTCTCAGAGTCAGCCACAGTTTGTTGTGATCCACACAGTCAAATTCCTTTGTATGATCAATGAAAAACAGATATACATTCCTCTGGTATTCCCTTCTTTCAGCTAAGATCCATCTAACATTAGCTACAATATCCCTAGTACCACAGCCCCTTCTAAATCCAGCTTACACTTCTGGCAGTTCTCTGTTGATGTGCTGTTCCAAAGTAAAGGCCTACTTTAAGTGGCAGTGATTCTCAGAACCTTTCTAAATAATTGTTTGAATTTCTTAATCAGTGTAGAACTATTTAATTAAACATACATTCAGGTATCAGGTATGGAAAATAAAAAATCAACAACAATAACAGAGCACAAAAGGAATATATTTTCTGAATTTGTTTTCAATTTAAATTTATGTCACTGTACTACTTATTTTACAAGCTTCACAAACACGAGAAAGATACTTGGTTAATCCTGTTACAGAAGTATGACCCATACCTTTGAGCGTTCTGAAAGGAAGTCTGGAAGAAGATAAACTTGTGCCAATAATTCTGTGTAGTCACGGCAACGAAAATAATAAATACGGGAAAGAATATTTTCAAGAGTGAAGTCCTCCAAAGCTTTATGGTGCTCTGAATAAACAACAAAACAACCCTAAAATATTGTTTACTGTTTTGATAAATTGGCTGACTGCAAGAAAAAGAAGACTTCAATAACAAAATTCTTAACTTTATCAAAACTCTTCCCTCTAAATGAAAAATGGTGACACTGAAGTATAGTAGAAAAACTGTATGTTACTATGTCTTAATTTCTGTTCTCAGGGGAGCTCTGGTGGCCTAGTGGCAAGAAGCTGTACTGCAATACCAGAGGTACACGGTTCAAATCCACCAGTTGCTCTGCCAGAGAAGGAGGGACAATTTCCTCCTGTACCAGTCAGATCTGATTTGACGGTATATGCACAAAAAATAATAATAAAAAATAAAAAAAATTTCTGTTCTCTTTCACCTTTTCTCTGATTCCATCTTGAGTTATCTAGAGATGATTTATTCAAACATGTAGAGAGAGTTTTATGCTTGCCTTTTCAAATTTCTAGTTACTACCCTTCACTAAAAAGAAACTTCTCAGTTTTTGGTAGAAATATAAATTAAGAGTGAAAAAGGCAAAATGTTCAAAAGATAATCTTTTTCCCTAACCAATGATGTATGTGGTATAATTTGGTCTTTAAAAATGACAAAAAAATAAAACTTCCATGCACACTCATGGTTATTGTGGCTTTGTTCACAATAGCAAAGAGTTGGAAACAACCTAAGTGCCCATCAACAAATGAATGGATAGAGAAGCTCTGGTATATTCACACAATGGAATACTATACTACATTGAAAAACAAGGAACTCATGCAATATTATTCAAAATGGGTGATGCTGGAGGACATTAAGCTGAGTGAATTATCTCAGTCACAAAAGGACAAATACTGCATAGTGCCACTGTTGTAAAATGGGACTGACATTGAGGTTGGGGGAGACTTAGAAAAATGGGATAAATTATGTATACTGCATTGAAACAGATGAGGAAGAGAACTGTTTAAAAGGGATATAAGATTAGGTATTATTGTCATGACAGAAGTCCATAACAAAGGCTGCATAGTGGAGTGTACTTGGGGGAGGGATTGTATAACAATGAAAGAATCTTTCTTTTACTTTTCAAAGAGAAGAGAGAAAAAAAATTTAAAAAAAAAAAAGAGAGAGAGAAGAGAGAACTGGCAGGGAGGTTGGACAGGGAGAAAAGTGAAACAATGAATTAATCGAAATCCAAAGTCTCTGTAAACTTTCATTAAAATTAATTAAAAACCTCAAACTTCCTTTTTAGATTAGAATTTTTTTTAATATACAGACTGTCCTTTTTTATTTGAATTGTTTATTAATTTTATTACTAAAATTTTGAGTTCTGTCAATAGCAACAAGTCAGAAGCAACACAAATGTCATCGACAAATGGATGGATAGATTGGATTTTTAAAAATAGCAGTTCAGTTTTGTACATGAGTCAGATAGGAATCAACTAAAAATTATTGTACTTAAAAAATTACTTAGGTTTTAGTACTTTTTAAAATGCACATGAAAACAAACAACAAACATCTAAATTTCAGAAGAGAAGTTGACTAGGGTAGATATACATCAGAAAAAGTTTGCCAATGTTTCTTTGTATCTGATCTCAGAGAAGCAATGTTAAAGAAACTCCCTCCTACTTGTATTTCAGAAAATGGGTCATGACAAATAAAACGACCTCATAATGATTTAGGTAAGACTCATGGGAAGGAGTGCCAATGGAGGAACAATTAAGTACTTGGCTGCTAATGAGAAGGTTGACAGTTCAAATGTACTCAGCGGCTCTGGCTTCTAGGAAGAAAGCCAAAGTGATCCGCCTCTCTAAGGATTCCAGCTAAAAAAACCCTATGGGATCATTCTACTCTCTGTGCATGGAGTTGCTAAGAACCAGAAATTAAGACATCCAACAAGACTCAAGGGTTTCCTTTCCTTTACATGTCGAGGCCAAATAGGCTCCAAATTCCCATTCTTTGCCTTGTAAATGACTAACTAAGCTTCTTGTCCCCAATGAGAAATAAAACGCTTATTAACCAAATTGTAATTAGGCTGCTTCTACTCCCCTAAGTACCAACCTGAGCAAAACTACCACCCTACCTTGGTCCTCTCCCAGGGAATAGACTAACTAGCCTCAGCGCACAATCTTATTAATCTGGTAAGTCATCCTCTCCTCTCACTCTTTTACATCTTTTTTCCTACTCTCTCATAAAAGAAAACTCTTCAAACCTTTGGTGATCTTAAGGACAAATTCTCCTTTCTGATATAATAGACCATTTCAACTATTACAATAGCCTTGTCTCCCTTGCAATTATTTTTAACTCAGGTTTGTTACTTTTTAATATTTATCACTGTAATTCTTTTTCACTCTTTATGTTTGGAATTTCCCCCCTTTACTTGACAAGGCCAATTTTCACCATAAAAATAACACTGCAATAACATACAAGCTATTAAAACCTCTATATCCTTGTGCCACATCTATCTCATTAATAGTCAGTATTGTGCTAACTGCACTTGGACAACAGCATCTTAGATATTAATCTATTCATATAGAAAGAAAGAGAGAAAGAGAGAGAGAGAAAGAGAGAGAGAGAGGGAGGAAGGAAGGAAGGAAGGAAGGCAGGCAGGCAGGCAGGCAGGCATGTAAAGAAACACAATGGAGAAAACACACACTAAAATGTGGTATTACTGAAAGAAATCACTGTCATGTGAACTCAAGAAGTAACTTCAGGAGTGGCAAGCATCTGTTTTGGACCCAGGTCCAGAACACATGGAGGTCTCCAAGGAATACAGGCCTACAGATGCTGAATGAAACGAGGACTTTCCTCCATGACCTATGGAGAGAACTTTCCCTAAAGCCAGCACCCTGGACTACCAGTCCCCAAAACTCTAAGAGAATAAATTCCTGTTTGTTGAAGAAAAATGGTAATTATTAAAATTATGTTTAATGGCTTGTACGTGATTGCAGTGGTATTAAACTTCTTAAATTTTTTTCAGTAAAAAGAAAACAGAAAAACATTAATTTGCTAGCTTACCTTTCCCCGTATGTGTTCCTGCTATAAGGTGAAGGTGTTGAATGCAAGCAGTAGCAAGGTCTACTACTCTATCAACCATAAAACTTCCCTCTGTATCAATAAAAACTGCTTCACCTGCCACTCCTCCAAAACATTCTGGTATCTGCACATCCACTGCCAATTGCATACTGTTAAGAAAAAGTGAGATAACCAAATCATTATCCATGACCATCTAATACCGTGTCTTTCAAACTCCATAGCCACTGGGTACCATATATATAAGTGTAAATATATTTTCGAGCATTAAAAAAAGTCTTGTGTTTATAACTCATTTCTAAAGAATTCGGAAATATATATAACACTGTCAAGACATTTAATGAGGGGTAAGCCATCATAATTAAAAAGCCTACCTCCAAAGTATTATCTAGTGCTGGAGAGAAGGCAAAAGCGCTAAACAGAAAGTGGTACACATGGTAAGTGCTTAGCTACAAACCAAAGAGTTAGTAATTCAAGCCCACCCTGAGTCACTTCAAAAGGTCTATTTTGCTTCTGTATGATCAGATTCCTGAAAATTCTGTGCAGCACAGTTCTCCTCTACAACATGGGACCAACAAAGTTGGAATTTATGACAACTTGTTACAATCATGTAAAAATAGGGGAGCTCTGGTGGCCTAGTGGCAAGGAGCTGCAACTACAATCCCACAGGCACACGGTTCGAATCCACCAGATGCTCTGCCGGGAAAAGGAGGAACAATCTCCTCCTGTACCAGTCAGATCTGATTTGACAGTACACTCACACAAAAAGAAAAAAAAAATCGTAAAAATAAGGCATTTTAAGGAAAAAAAGGGAAGTTGCTTTTAAAATAATCAGAACTAGATGTACTTGGGGGGGAAGCTTTATGTTCCAGTAGGGCTCACAAAGGGCTTTTTAAGATATTAATGTTTTCTGTGCCATGGACTACCTTATAATCCTTCATTAAACTCCCTATTTATGTAACTTTCACTATACTAGGAAAAATAGTGTATAGAGACTAACTTTAAAATTAAGATTACCTGAAATATCTTGCTAACCTCTGAAGAAATCATAATACGCAAATCAAACGTTTAAAAGATGGGGGAAGATACCTTAGATAGAACATCAGAAACATGGATAATAAAAGACGATATAAGTTTTTTTAAAAAAAATTGTTATGAACTGTTGATTCAGACTCATAATTGACTGCCCAAAGGGTTTTCAGAGGCAGGAGATGAAACAGCAGGATATTGTCTGTATTTCTCCAGTAGAGCAGCTGGTGAATTTGAATCACATGCCTTTGGGTGGGCAGCACAAATCCTTACAAAGCCACCAAGAGCAAATATAAATTGTGCATCATAAAAATGTAAAACTTAGGGAGCTCTGGTGGCTAGTGGCAAGAAGCTGCATTGCAATCCCAGAGGTGCGTGGTTCAAATTCACCAGGTGCTCTGCTGGAGAAGGAAGGACAATATCCTCCTGTACCAGTCAGATCCAATTTGATGGTACACACATAAAAATAATAAAAAATAAAAAAATTTAAAACTTTGGTGGACCAAAGAACTTTAACAAGAAAGTATCACCAACAAAATAATAGAACACCAAAGTAATTACTGTTTATTTGATTCCAAATCACGGTGATCCTATATATTTCAAAGTAGAACTGCAAGCCATCAGGTCCTCAATGGCTTATCTTTGAAAAATAGATTGCCAGACCTTTACTTCTGGACAGCTCTAGTTAAAGTCAAGCCTCCAACCTCCTGTTAGCAGCTGAGCACATTAAATGTTTTCATCACCCAGGGATTCCCAGAGCTACCACCCAAAACTAAACCCAAGTTAAGTCCAACACATAGCAACCTTCATTAGGCTGTAAATTGTTACAGGAGGAGACTGCCCATATTTCTCCCATGTAGCAACTGGTAGGTTAGAACCACCTACCTTCTGGTTAGCAGCCCAACACACTACAAACTACATCACTAAGGCTCTAGAGTTACAATATGGCCCAACAATTTACCCTTTGGTATATACTCCAAAGAACGGAAAGTAGTCCCCTGTGATTCAGTAACACCAGGAAGAACTGCACTGCTTAGATCAAGAACAAAACAGGCCCCACTCAGGCATAAAGCTCAGAAGGCAGGAAGGGATAGGAAAGACAACAGAATTGGGAAAGAGAAGAAATGGGAAGAGTGCTACTACAATGTGAAGATTATAGTCAATGCCATAAAACACAGTGCTTATTATGAACTGTTGAATTGAAAAGCAATCTGCACCGTAAACTTTCACTCACATTTCAACTGTTAATTTTTTAAAAAAAGCAACCCTAAAAGCAAAGATTAAAAAAATACTTGGATATCAATGTTCACTGCATCATTATCAATCATCAAAAAACAGAAACAATGAATGCCAGTAATCATAAACAGATTAGTGGATAAATAAAAGGTAGCCTAAAAAATGGAACAGGAATGATTGTATGAAAAACAATGTGAATGAAGAAAAGTGTGAAACACAACATATGTGAATTTTGTATGCAAACCAATATAAAAGAAATATTTTAAAAATTATATAAAGTAAAAAAAAAAAATGGAATCGGTTTACTCTCATTGAAAAAGTGTGCTGTCAGGGACTTTTCTTGTCCTGACAAGCAATGATGTCAGTTTAATGACCAAGGTGCACCTGCTCAAGCCATGGTTTTTCCAATTACTTGCTATACATCTAAGAGCTGGACAATGAATAATTGTGACAGAAGAATTAATGCCTTCGAGATGTAGAGTTAGCGTACAGAATATCTTGAGGACTGCCAAAGGAACAAACAGTCTTAGAGAAAAGAGCAACCAGAGCGCTCCTTAGAGGCAAAGGATGGCGAAGCATCCTTACTTACTTTAGGCATATTGTTAGGAGAGAATATTCCATGGAAAGTATTATCAAGCTTGGAAAGGTGGACAGTCATCAAAGGAGAGGAAGACCCTCAGTGAAATGGATGGATACAGTAGAAATGGGCTCAAATGTGTTGGGGATGATAAGGATGGTGTAGCACAAGACAGAGTTCAAATCTGTTGCTCACAGGGTCACTATGAATCCTTCTTAATAAATTTTTACTACCTTTTACTACCAGACAAATAAAAAGCAAAGTCATAAATAAAAATTAAGTATTGATACATAGATGAACCTTAAAAGCACTGTACTAAGTGAAATGTCAGACAAAAGGACAATATTGTTTGATTATATTTATATCAAAGATCTAAAATAAGCAAATGCATAGAGACCAAAGTTTATTAGTGGTTACCAGAAGTGGCTGGGAGGTAACGAGGAAGTATAGTTTAATAGTTTAAGGAGGACCGAGTTTCTGTTAATGATGGAAACATTTAGAAATGAACAGTAGTAAAAAAAAAAAAAGAAAGAAATGAACAGTAGTATGGTGCAACCACTATGGAAGGTAGTATGGCACTTTCTCAAAAAGTTGGAAATAGAAATAGCATTTGACCCAGCAATTCCACTACTGGGAATATACCCTACAGAAACCAGAACTGCCACCCAAGCAGATATATGTATACCCATGTTTATTGCTGCTTTGTTCACAATAGCAAAGAGTTGGAAACAACATAAATGCCCATCAACAAACGAATAGAGAAGCTGTGCTATATTCACACAATGGAATACTATGCTGAACTGAAAAACAAAGAACTCATGAAACATTATACAAAATGTGTGACCCTGGAGGACATTATGCTGAGTGAAATATCAATCACAAAAGGACAAATACTGCATAGTGCCACTGTTGTAAAGCAGGACTGACATCGGGGTTGGGGGAAGACTAAGAGGTGATAAATTATGTATACTGCATTGAAACAGATGAGGAAGAGAACAGTTTAGGAGGAATATATGATTAGGTATTATTGTTATGACAAGGGTCCAGAATGAAAGCTACATGTTAGAGTGGACTGGGGGTTAGGGGGGAGGAGAGATTGTATAAAAATGAAAGAATTTCTTTTTACTTTTTAAAAAGAAAAGTGAAAGTGTCTTGGTCGGTTAGCTCAGTTAGTTAGAGCGTGGTGTTAATAAAGCCGAGGTCGCGGCTTCGATCGCCGTATGGACCAAAAGTTGACAATCTCATTTAAAAAAAAAAAGAAAAGTGAACTGGCAGGGAGGGTGGGCAGGGAGGAAAGTGTGCAACAATGAATGAATGGAAATCCAAAGAATCTGTAAATTTTAATTTAAAAAAAAATGATTGTAGGTGGCCTAGTGGCAAGGAGTTACACTGCAATTCCAGAGGCGTGTGGTTCGAATCCACCAGATGCTCTGTTGGAGAAGGAAGGATAATCTCCTCCTGTACCAGTCAGATCCGATTTGATGGTACACACACAAAAAATAATAAAAATTTTTAAAAAATGTTAAAAAGAAAAAAATGAACAGTAGTGATGATTGCCTAAAACAACGAACATAGTAAAGTATTATACAAAAAATTATTGAAAAGGTCAATTTTTTGTTATATTTTAGCACACTAAATTTTCATTAAAAGGGGATAGAACAAGTGCAGCAATGAATGAATGGAAATCCAAATTCTCTGTAAATGTTCATTAAAATTATTAAAAAAAATAAAATATAAAAAAAGGGGATAGAGCAGGCATAAATGCTGTTCTGAAAGAATGCAAATCAAAATTCAATAGTGATATCATTTCAAAAGGTATTAAGCTTTCAATTAATACTTCCCCACATTATGCTGTCACTCTTAAAACAATTTTTCCAATATCAAATTAAAATAGCCTTCCTATAAGATTATTTAAAACTTTAGCTGAACAAATACAATGGCTTGCCCTGAGAAATCTATGTGCCTACTGTATAAAGAGTAGAGGGAATACTTCATAGGTAGGTACATTCAGAGTCCTATTCTGCCAAACAGAAGCTTTTATTTTCCTCCTATAGAACATACTAAGGATCTGTGGTGGCCTAGTGGATACCCAGAAGTATGTGCAATTCAAATCTACCAGCTGCTCCTTGGGGAAATGATGGGCCATCAATCTCCTCCTGTGCAATCTACACCCTTTGAAAACATGCTGAAGGGTCAGTCAATGTGTTGGTTCCAACTTGATGGCAATGAGTGAATGCCACTAAGAGGTTATAGTGAATACCCACTAAGAGGCTGTATAGATGAGGCCTATGTTCTGTAAGGACTTAAGTATACTTTTTCAGAAGGACAACTGTTCAACTCTTTCTGTAACAGTTATTCCCAAAGCAATGGAAAGAAAAGGGGGTCCATTCTAAAGCAAAAAAGAATTTTTTCTCAGCTGTTGTTTCTAATTTCTTAAGGTGTTAGGACAAGAATTCTAGTTTGGAGACATGAGAACAAGCAACTCAGTCCCTGAAAACAGTTCATATGAAGGTTACAATCCACAGAAAATGTAGACAGAAGGTCTGACTTGATTGCCCTTCTTCCCAAAGCAACTCATTATAAATCAACTGTTGCTTGGATTAGAGGTAAACAGTGCCTATGAGATCAGGATTAAATTTTAATTGATTTAAGCCTTTTGGGAACAGAGCTCCCTGACATGTAAATCTACTTTAAAACATCTGACTTTGAAATATATATATATTCAGGAATGAAACTTAAAGCAGGAGATTGGCATTACCTGTTTGCCTTAACTGCCATACCACAAGGCTGCACAGGGAATATTTATCAAAATAATTTTTTCCTACAATGCTTTATCTTAGATCATACAGCATGACTATATGACATTTATCTTAGATGATACAGCATGACTATATGACATTTATCTTAGATGATACAGCATGACTAAATGACATTTAAAAAGTCTTTCTGCAAAGAAAACAAAAAAGTCCCCAAAATAGTTTTATCTATTTATTAAAGATGGGATGTTGAAGTAATGGCAAATGCAAATGATTTTTGTTTTAAGAACACATAAATAAAATAAAATAAAATAAAGAGCACATATGATACTTTTTATTATCTCCTGATTAATGACCCCTAGCACATAAAACATTATTAAGCCCACCCTTAAGAGAAAAATGGTTTCTTTTACCATAATTGTGTTTTTCCAACACCCGGTGCACCACAAATTTCTGTTGTTTTGGTTAAGGGTACTCCACCCCCGAGAATATTATCTAGTGCTGAACAGAAGGTAATTATGCAGCCCTGGGTATGCTCCTGCTCGAGAAGTTCCAGAGCTGTATACTTCTTGCCTGACTCAGATGTACTAGCGTATCTTGTTGTATTTGTAGGATATTCTCTTCTTATGATCTGTAGTGTTTCTAAAGCTTCTTCTTTTGATATCCCAACTTCTGAAAGCAAAATATGGTTAAAAAAAATTATTTTAGGGATTTAAAGTCATCTGACCCTCAAATGATTATGAATTTATCCTTCATTAATGATAGTTTTAAGGTTTGCAAAGTAATAATGTCAAGGATACATATAAAAAAGTTTTTAAAATAGTTTCTATTAAAGGGTTTTTTTATATAGTAAAATACATATGTTTTTTCTGTCTAGAAGTCCAATGGCTATCCATTGTGCCACAGAGTCAGATACTTGTCTGTTTTCTTAATCTTCACATAAAAGATTTATCTACTACTTCAGAAACAGAATTCAACTAAAGCATTTGATGATCCCAAAGGCAGAATAAAAATGCAGTGACCGCAATTACTACCCCTTTTGGTCCTATGACATAATTATCTTGGTCTTACAGAGTATACAAATTATTTTTCAGAAGAAAGTGTAAAAGACTAAAACAAAGTGCAATTTTCAAGTACTTGTGCACATTATTATCATTATTTTAATACTAAAAACTGTTCATCAAAACACTGGTGTGATGGTGTGAAAGAATTTTAACTAGTGGTACAACTATCTTAAACAATACATATCCTTCCTCAACGACATAATGTTATTTCTGATACCATGTACTAGATAAAATAATGGTAATTACAAAACAAACAATGAAAAAATAGATTAGTACTTTATTTGGTTAAGAATTTGGACTATGAATTGAGTGTTAACAAAGAGTGATGATAAACACTTAAAGACGTTAAGATCCTACCCAAGGTAAGAGCAGAAAGGTGGGACAAGATTGCTTGAGTTTGTAAAATCCTGATTGCACTTAATACGTCTATGGACACGTTACTTCTTTTTGCTTTTAATTTTTTATACTCAGGATGCACAATGGTTTCGACGAACATATAATCTAGCATTGCAGAATTTATTTGAGGTTTTAATTGGGAGGGGAGGTGGAAATTACATAAAAAGTGTGTCGTCTTCTATTTTCTCTTGATTAAAGGCGGCGACTGCTCTCTAGTTTTATAAGGATTTCTGTATTTCTTAAATTTTTCCCTTTCCCGCCCCCAGTCTAGGAAGAGTAAAAATTAAGGCAGTTTGTCTGAGTACCAAACCTGCTACCAGTATGTTAGTGCCTAGTTATTATGAACAAGTTAATCACTCAGCATCAATTTCCTCATCTACACAGCAGATATCCACTAAAAAGGCATTTTGTGAGTCTAGAGGCTCTGGGAAGAAGTACCTGCAAATGTTTTCACGACCACAGCCGACCTAACTATTCTCACATTTTTAAACGGGGTCAAGAAAGTTGTAAACGCGGGGCGCAGACCACCAGAATTTTAGTCACTGAACTAAAACCTAAAGGAAGGAAATAGAGAAGGCTCCAACTGCAGCGTGTTGTTACCTTTACTGAGCTCGGAGGGTTTCACCTCCAAGAGCTCCTCAGCAGTCTGGAAACCGGCAGACACAAGCTTCACTCGCACCGCTGGGGATAACGGTAAGCTCCCTAAATCCCGCTGCATTTCAAACCGGGACACCTACGTGCTCAATCGCGGACAGCTGAACTCAAGGAGCCGTAACTTTATGGCCTGCGCCATGTGACGTCAGACGCAAGGCGGAAAAGGCGGGGTCGTGGCCCGGCAGCACGTGGCCTCGTGTTTTGCCGCTCTGCTACCAACTTAACTTTTCACACTTTAGCTCAGTTTTGTTAGTCATTCTTCCAAATACAATTTTGAATTTCCATCAGATTTATAATTTAAGAATAAACAACGTGAATGAATGACCAGCTCAGTAGACCTTACACGTTTCCTCACTTAACATGGTTCTTGTTGAGTGGACAACTTTGATGGAGTTATGAATTCCGATATAAATTCTGGGTCATGAATAGATAGGCTGACTTGCCAAGAGTGCACAATGGCCAACTTGGTTCTTTTCTAGTGTAAACAGTCCAAGAGACAGTTGTCTGAATCTAAGCTCTTTACGACAGTAACCACCTTTCCGTACCTCGTGCACTTCTCCCGCCCTCGCGAAGGATTGTGGGCCACCCCCCCCTCAAAACCACAGGGAGCGCTCCACCCTTTCCCCCACCCCCACCCCACTCCCGTCTTCTCGTGAGTCCAGCGGGTGAGTGGAGTCCGGGGGACAGTTAGATCTTAACGGCCTTCCCAATTTAAGAAGTAACTGGAAATGTAAGCAAGTAATGTCCTGGTCGTGGGCTGGGCCTGGGCTCTACCGTTATTAAGGGGGTGGGGTGGGGGGCTGCCAGGATATTTAAGGACTCCTGTTCAGATACAGAGCTGGAGAGGTTGCGTTCAAGTTTGAGGATCATTGGCTTCTAAAATAGAGAAGTTTGAGGAAATTGAAAAGCTATTAGAGTGATGGTTTAAGAGATCTTCAACGTACGTGAGTAGTACTTGTGGGGGGGTTCAGGGGAATGTAGCTCCTTTCCTACCTGTTGAAGATTTTGAGCTGTGCCTTTTCCTCCAAGACTAAAGGAACTCGCTAAGTAATTACAAATTAATCTCTTAAATTTGATCTAGTGAATAAAAGTGTTGAACGCTTTCTTAAGTTCCATAACTTTCAAATGCTTGCAATCACACTTTAAGGACGACGTAAAGACTTGGGAGCTCAGAGCACAGGGTTATTTAAGGCAGAATTCAAGTTTATGAGGAATCGATTCAGTTACAATGGATTTTACTGCTCTGAGCTACCTCCTCAAAATTTTAGGCACCTACACGGTGCCAGGTTGTGTAAGAGGGGGTAGAAATGGGAAAAGCATTGTACCTTTGCTAGGGCACAGAAAGCGTGGTCAGGCTGGTCAAAATGCGATTTATCTGTTCCACATGCTGCTTAACTTCTATTAAATACCTATCTGGACACTCGATGGACATCATATAAACGTTGTCCACAGGGAGAAGTCATATTTAGGCTTATAAATCAACCACATCATAGGGTGAAAAGATGGTCACATTTAAGGATTGCTCGTTGGGGCCAAAATTAAGTGAAATTGGTAATGTTTAGAGTTTTGTTTCATTGACAATAGAAAGTTAAATTAATTAGACTTATCTGTGGCTATCCAGTTAAGTGTTATTAATATGTAATCCTGACCTTGAGTTGCTATGGTGGTTATGGATTTCATTACATTTAAAGAAAAAACGAATACTGGTTTGCATTATGTGCTTTGCTCTATACACTTGTATTCAAAGTAGGATCCAAACGTATGAAGCCATGCACCACAAACTAAATAAATCAATGGGATCTCCCTCCCTAGGAGGGCAGACATTATTGCACAGCTTCTCCTTTCCTGGGTCTCCTCTCTCAGCTCAAGCATAGCAGCGAGACTGGCAGGATGATGCAGGGTATCATTCTGTCATGGGTTGCTGTGAGTCAGAGCCAATCCCATGGTCACCACCTCCCAAGAACAGAAATATGTATGGAAATGCTCATACCTATTCTTTTGGTTTTACTCAAGTATTATGGTTGGAAGAACTGATGAATTAGACTGATAATAACTTAAGATGTTTTCGATTAAGCAACCGTTAATAAATTGTAGAGAGTAGCTCTAATGGAAAGGAGTTGAGGTGTTAATCCAAAGGTGATTGAAATCTACTACCTGCTCCACTGGAGAAAAGCAGTCTCTTCCTTTGCAATTTATACTCACTGGAGGGTCAGCTATGACTATGTTCTGACTCAACTGGACAAAACAACGGAGTAAAAATATACAAACAGATTTCAAGGTACACAGATTTTATAGGCAGCCTGAGTTGTCTCAGGCTACCTGAGTAGTCTCCCAAATCCTTCCAGAAATGTTTTTTATTTCCTTTTGCAGTTTGGTATTACTTGATGAAAAGATTTGAGAGACACTATTATAAACATGGGTTTGGGGTTTGTATCCCATCTCTGGAAGCTTCTTACCGTGTGACTTTCAGAAGAGCGCTGAATTTTTTCACCTGTATAAATAAAATGTGATAAAAAATAGCGAAATTTAACAGAACAGCAAACAAATGCTGCAAGGTTGTGGAGAAACTGGAATCCTTATTCACTGTTGGTGGGAGTGTAAAATGGTGCAACCACTATTGAAGGCAGTATGGCACTTGCTTGAAAGGTTGGAAATAGAAATACCATTTGACCCAGCAATTCCACTTCTGGGAATATACCCCAAAGAAACCGTAACTGCCACCCAAGCAGATATATGCATACCAATGTTTATCGCTGCTTTGTTCACAGTAGCAAAGAGTTGGAAACAGGTCTCATTCTTTCTGCTCTTGAGTGTTGGCCGTGTCTCCAAGCTGTTAAATTTTTAAATTTCCAGGGAAGCAGTGCATGGCCTACAAAGCAGGTGCTCCTTACTCGTGTCTGAAGAGAGCGCAGGACTGAAATTAACTATCATGTCCTCAGAAGAAGGCAAACTTTTCGTGGGAGGGCTCAATTTCAACACGGATGAACAAGCCTTGCATAATCACTTCAGTAGCGTTGGGCCTATCGCTGAAGTGGTGGTGGTGAAGGACCGAGAGACTCAAGTGATCTCGGGGTTTTGGTTTTATCCCTTTCGCCAATCCAGAACATGCTTCAGATGCCATGCGAGCCATGAATGGAGAGTCCCTGGATGGTCGTCAGATCCGTGTAGCTCATGCAGGTGGTAGGGACCAAGGGTATGGGAGCAGCAGATATGATAGCCGACCTGGAGGATATGGACTATGGTGGCAGAAACCAGGGTGGTTATAACCATTACTCTGGAGGAAATTACAGAGATAATTACGACAACTGAGATGAGGCATGCATTTATAATGTAGATACACAACGAATAAAGATTCTTCTGATCAGGATCGTCCTTCTAGTTGGCTGTATTTATAAAAGATTTTTGGAGCTATACTGAAATATTTGTTTTAGTACATCAACTTCTATTTTTAAATTGAGCTCCCAGAGTAGCCTGTGAAACCCTTTTCATAAATGCCATAGGATTTTTAAACCTTTTTCTCCCATTTAGAGACAAATTTTGTGATATTTATAAATTCTGAGTATTTTTCCTTTACCAGTTTTGTAGGGCATTTTTGTGTTTGGGTTTGTTTGTTTTTTAGTTTGAGCACTCAGATTTTTTTGGAAAAAAACAAAAACAACTTGGCCAGGCTTTTTAAAAATTACTATCTAAAAAAAAATTTAAAAAATTACTATCTAGAGACATATAGTTTATGTAAGATTATTTCATTATCATGGTTAGAAAACAATTTTTTAAAGTATATAAAACTAGTCTTCCGCCTGCCCGCCGCCTCACAGCCATCATGGATACCAGCCACGTGCAGCCTATCAAGCTGGCCAGAGTCACCAAGGTGTTGGGCAGGACCGGCTCCCAAGGGCAGTGCACGCAGGTTCGCGTGGAGTTCATGGACTACACGAGCCGCTCCATCATCCGCAACGTGAAAGGGCCCGTGCGCGAGGGCGAAGTGCTGACTCTGCTGGAGTCAGAACGAGAGGCGCGGAGGCTGCGCTGAGGCCGCCGCCGGATCCTCGATGTCTCTTCTGCTTGGCCCCGGGAATGATATTCATCGTTCATTAAAATCTATGTTGTGCTAAAAAAAAAAAGTATATAAAACTAGAAGTGGACATCAAAATGTGATTTCTTAAAGATGGTTTTGGTTTTTTCCTCCCTACTCTAGTACGAAATCACCACCCTAATTATATAGAAGAGCTTAAAAAATGTTTTGAATGTCTTTTTTTAATACTGGAAGAAAAAAAAAATATCCTGCTGTGTTTCATGTGTTAAAGATGTCCTGCATGGAGCCTATTAAAAAGATTGAATATGGGGGGGGGGGAACCAAAACCAACCTATGTGCCCATCAACAAACAAATGGATAGAGAAGCTGTGGTATATTCACAGAATGGAATACTATGCTGCATTAAAAAACAAAGAACTCATGAAATAATACAAAATAGGTGGCTCTGGAGGACATTATGCTGAGCAAAATATCTGTCACAAAAGGACAAATACTTTATAGTGCCACTTTTGTAAAACGGGACTGAAATCGGGGTTGGAGTGAGACTGAGAAAGATATAAAATATATACTGTTTTGAAACAGATGAACTGTTTAAAAGGGATATATGATTAGGTATTGTCATGATAGGAGTCTAGAACGAAGGTTGCATAGTGGATTGGACTTGAGAGGGAGGGATTGTATACCAATGAAAAAAATTTTTTCTTTTACTTTTCAAAGAGAAGAGTGAACTGCAGGGGAGGTTGGGCAGTGAGAAAAGTGCAACAATGAATGAATGGAAATCCAAAGTCTCTGTAAACTTTCATTAGAATTAATTTTTAAAAAATGTGTGTGAGGAGTATTAAGTTAATCAGTGCAAAGTATTCAACACTGAAAAGTCAGATAATCTTGGTGATTTTTTTTTCTCCATTTAGAAATAATTGCAATTTTATATTGAATAACTTTTTTAAAAAAAAACGTATATTGGTTTACTTAACAAAGTTTGAATACATTGTTTTTCACACAGGATCCTTCCTATTTCCTTAACACACACTCCCCTCCCTTC